TTTTGTTAAAATTTTGCTAAAAATGAATTTTTCAACTAAAAATCGCTGAAATTAAACTGAAATTTTTCTAAAATGCTGAAATTTTGCTGAAAAATATTCCAAAACGTAAAATAATTTCAGCGAAATTTTTCCATCAGGAAACGCATTGAGCTCTTTTTTCTGGATTTCTTGGGAAATGTTTCATAAGAAATCCCTTAACCGTTGAATTTTTACAATTTGGCACGCAACAGCCTGACATTGTTATTTTCTAGATATTACCTATAATTGTTTACTTATGCGTTATAAAGTCATGTACATTATAGGTTAGGAATATGCCGTTACAATATTTTCAATTACCACATCAATTTTACAACTTATATGGCATAATAATATTTTATAATAATATTAAATCATTATTATCTAAATTTGTACTTACAAACATACAAGTATCACACACATATGACACATAATGAAGGCCGCCATGTTCTTGCAAATGCTAGAAGTTCGCGCATTTCTTATTTGAGGATCTCTACATCGAACGCGCTCTATACACTCCTTCAGGCCGTTGATGGAACTTCAGCCATTGCCACATCCCACATGTTGACAGTTTTGAAGAATCATTTAGGCCTGATTTCACAATGTATGATTACCTAAAGATTAAATAAAGGTAACCAAAAAATCATGAATGAATTTTATTAATGAATCTGTTGCTAACTTTTAATCTTTAGGGGTACATTCCAAAACGTTCTCTCCGAGGAAAATTTTATTCAAAATATATAGCACACGTAACGTATGCTATAGTATATAGAGTAAAATCTTCCTCAGGTTGGAATCAGATTAGGCATTGAAGATTGAGATTGAAGATTGAAAGATTGAAATTTGACCAATCAAAACAATAGGAGCTAAAATTCCTTTACCCTCATTGGTCAAATTTCAATCTTCGATCTCAATCTTCAATGCGTAGTCTGATTCCGACCTCAGAGGGTGCGTTCGAAAATCTACTCGTCGGGTAGAGTAAGGTTGGGTATGGGTAAACGTAAAACTCGATCGGAGTAACACTAAAATTCAACGACTTTCCGAACGTATAAGGTAAAGTACTTATTAAGTAATGGTGAAGTCGTCTCGGCTCGGGTGCATAACCTCATTTATATTGTTGAAAAGTGTGGCCGACTGACTGTGCATTCATATTCTAAATTTTTTAGGCCCTTCATTCATCTAATATCAAAGAAGACTTAAAATTAAATTTTAAATTAAAATTAATTTATATTAATAAAATAAATTTATATTATATTATAATATATATATTTTTATATTATTAATATATTTTATTAATATTATTTATATTATTTATAATTTATTTATAAAATAAATTTATATTATTTATTTAAATTAATTTAAATTAATTTTAAATTTTAAACTTAAATTTTCTTTGGAAAAGACATTTTGGAATGTAACCTAAATATTGAATAAAATTTCTAAAAACAACTATAGAAAATAAAAGTAATTACCATGTTGATCAATTATTATCATAATGTCATTTTGAATGACCAAATCACCGTTTTCTAAACGATAAGGGATATGACGTCCTTTAATCGGATTAATGAGAGCTGTGACGGTCTCAGACATCTCAGTTCGTTCCATTTTTGTCACTTCGCAGTTCGCGCCAAGATAGCATGACGGTTAAACGAGTTACCCTGCCAACCTCTGAAAATTCAGAGGTTGAAAAAGCGACCCTAGAGTACAATTTAGTGACTTTACTCGATATTTCCGAACGCAACTGGTAAGTCAGTTTTGTACGACCCGAGTTAATTTCCGAACGGCAAATAGAAAAATTTCTACTCAGAGTAGGATTTTCGAACGCATCCAGAGAGGACATTTTGGAATGTAGCCTAGGCTGCGTTCCACTTAACGCTCGCAACGCTCGCGAGCATCGTTTGTCCTTGTTTAACATTTGACAAACGACAAGGATGAAATGATTCCCGAGCGTTGTGAGCGATAAGTGGAACGCAGCCTAGATAATCATATATTGTGAAAACGGGTCTTAATCACATCTCTTAGGCTGCGTTCGGAAATATCACCCGAGTGCTCCCGCATGTCGTTTCATCCTTGTTTTTCACTCAATGTTCAATAAGAATAAAACGATACACGGGGGCACCCGAGTGATGTTTCCAAACGCAGCTCTAATATTAAATAAGGATAAGATGATACACGGTGGCACCCGGGTAATGTTTCCGAACGCAGCCATATGTGTAGTGCTGTACTAGGCTGCGTTCCGTTTCACGCATAATGCATAATGCATCATTTATCCTTGTTTAACATTCGGTGAATAACAAGGATAAAAGATGCATCATGCGTGAAACGGAACGCAGCTCTACACTCGGTCACGGCTGTGTTCCAAAATTAACTGCCAGCACTGAATATCTATAATGCACGTAACGTAAACTGTAGCATTTTCTGTGCTGGCAGTAAATTTGGAACACACCACAGAAAGGTTGCAACACTTTTTTCGATGTGTTTCGGAATGCAGCTTGCTCACCAAGCGATTGGTTCTTATTTATGGAGTAAGAACTTCTTATTTGATATAACTTGAAGTGTTTGTCAATACCTGTGCTAAAATTGATTTTCGAGATTAGAAACGTGTATATTACGTTTTATACATTTTTTACGCAATATACGTGTATATTACGTGTAACGTAAAAAATCCTAGAAATTGTCAAATGTCCCAATCCTGGTGCTAATTAAAAAATTGATAGTCGACCGATCGTTCTTCGTGGTGCGTCGGTATTTCTAAAGAATAAAGAAGTCACGTGATCTTCTTTTCATTGCTGCCATTGCTGCCGTCTCTGTGTGTTGGGTGTATAACCTCAAAACGTGCCTGCTTTTACGAGGAAAAGAATAGGTAATCTAAAATTTTATTTGTGGGCCGTGTTTCGTATCACTCAAATTTATTCTGCACGTATCTCTTGATGTTGTTCTCTTTTATTTAGAAAAGTCTGTTGCGCCTTGCGCCTACTGGAGTTGGGGGAGGCATACATAAAACATGCGGTCTTTGCAGCTCTAAAATTATTAAATCTGTATGCCACGTTGCACCCGATATTTTTTAAACATGTGACGTCGTTAAGCTCTTTCCTTGCATATTACATGTTTACATCAATTTATATCTGTGTGTTTATATCCATTTGTTGTGTGTAATTTTAAACTCGAGGGTGCAACATTTTGAAGTGTAATTAATGAGCGCCCATGTATCGTTTATACTAGGCTTGTTCTTTTTGGCTGAACTTTTGCACTAGTTCATCTTTCTTCCTCTTCTTTCCTCCTGGAGAAAAAAAGGAAGAAAGATGAACTGGTGCAAAAGTTCAGCCAAAAAGAACAGGTCTTATATTTTGCCTGATTGTTCCAGAGCATTTGCAACCATGAGTCGTTTCTTCGCAACTGGCTCAGATTCTGAATCTGATAGTGCATCTGAGGAGGAGCAGGTGCCAAGGGCACCTGCGACAGCTTTTACAGTAAGTACCATCATCAAGACAAGCATTTTCAATATTTAATAATTTTTAGATGGTTTCCATTTGACAACACAGATACAAGTATCGTCTTTTGATGTTGTAAAATTCTTTAATTTATTGTTTTTGTCCTTAGTTTCTCATTGAATCTAGATATATAAACCAATCACGTTAAAGAATGTTACAATAGTTGTAAGCTGCTTTCTCTACTGAACACAGTCTTTGTTACTCATAAAATGTCAAGAAAAATAAAATAACTCGGATGAATAACTCAATATCTCTTTATAGTTTAGTGATGACGAGGAAGAGACAAAGCGCGTTGTACGTTCTACAAAGGAGAAGCGATATGAAGAAATTGCAAATCTTATAAAACTTATTAGGAATTACAAGAAGATTAAGGATATGAGTAGCATGTTGACCAGTAAGTTTTAACTTCATAAATCTACGATGTTTTATGTATTTGAAAATTACATTAGCAAGGACTAAGCATAAATATCATTTGTTACAATAAATGTTTCTTTATAAATACATTGATATATAATGGTTGGTAATTAAGTGCTTTTATTATAACAAGTATTTGTTCCTATAATTTTAGGTTTCGAGGACTTGATGCGAGCTTATCAGAAAGCTTTACCCGTGATCGCCAAGGAGGAGCTCGGACAAACGCCGAGATTTTACGTTAGGTGTTTGGTAGAAATGGAGGATTTTATTAATGAGGTGTGGGAAGATCGCGACGGGCGTAAAAATATGTCCAAGAACAATTCCAAGTCACTTTCAACATTGCGTCAGAAGCTGCGAAAGTATAATAAGGACTTTGAAGAGGATATTGGCAAATTTAGGGAAAATCCTGATCAGGACGATGACGAAGAAGAAGAGAAAGGTTTAATTACTACAAGAAATATCTTAAATGCTTATTTCAGTTGAAATCATTTCGAGATAAAATTTAATGATTTTATTTCAGCCGAGGAGGTTCTAGAATCTGAAGAAGAAGATGACAGTGCCATAGCTTTCAAAAAGGCAGGATCAGAAGCAAGTGAACCGGATGTGTCCAAATTCAAGGTTTTCTATGACATAAAGACTCTAAAATCTATGATATACGATGCGTTCTTGCTTACGATTTAGTAAACTAAAAATTCTGTGCTGTTTTAGTAATTTATTAAATTGCAAATAGCAGGAAAAATTGCATCGTGTGCCAAAGGTTTTACAAAAGTACCAGAAGTTGATTAAAATAGTTCAAATCTATTTCCTTGTGTTACAGAAGACCGCAACCGATGGTGAAGACGGCAGTGAAAGTGAATCTGACTGGGGTAGTGATTCGGACAGTGAGAGCACAAGTAGCGATGACGAAGGTCAATATCAAAACATTCGTGAACGTTTCATCAAGAAGTACGTTCTTTTAATCTATGATAAAATTTGATAAAAATACTTTCTACTTAACGAAACAAGTAAAATTTATCAACATATATATATATATATATATATATGAGACATGATCTTTTTTTATATAGAGCTACAACTCAAGAAGAGGACGAGGATAAAGCAAAGAGGAAGGAACAACGTAAAGAGCGCAAGGAAAAGGAGCGAAAGAAGAAGCGCGACGAAGATGATGGCGAAGGAGAGTGGGAAACCGTCAAGGGCGGCGTAGCTATTCCCTCTGAAAAGCCAAAGATGTTCGCCAAGGATGCAGAGATTAATATCGGCGCGGTGTTGAAGAAGCTTTCCGAGATAATTGCAGCTCGCGGTAAAAAGCGTACGGACAGACGCGAGCAAATAGAACTCTTGCACGAACTGCAACTGATAGCAGATGCACATAATCTTGGCCCAGCTGTAACAGTAAAGATCAAGTTTTCCATCGTGTCTTCCATATTTGATTACAATCCAAAGGTTTCTGATGCTATGAAGCCGGAATATTGGTCCAAGTATGTAATTTTGCGTGAAATAAATATATGTACATATATATAAATTAATAAACCTTAAGATAAAATATTTAAAATAATCAAGTATTAAATAAATATTTTTACAGAATACTTGAGCGCATTACCGAAATGTTGGATATGCTGCTGAGCAATTTAGATATGGTAATAGCAGAAACAATAGCTGAAGAAATGGAGGAGTTTGAAACGACGCCGTACAAAATACATGGTTGCGTATTAACACTGGTAGAACGTCTTGATGAGGAATTTACAAAGTTGTTGAAGGAATGCGATCCACACAGCAATGAATATGTGGAAAGGTAATATCTTTTGAGAGAAATTATGCAATATATTTACGACTGTTAATATTGTTTATAACTATAAAATATCTACACTTGTCACAGATTGAAAGATGAGAAGCAAGTTGCTGCCATAATTGACAAGGTGCAGGAATATTTAGAGAGGCAAGGAACCGTGTCCGAGCTTTGTCGCGTGTACCTTCGTAAAATCGAGCACTTGTATTACAAATTTGATTCAAATGTTTTGAAACAAAAGGAGGTAATTTTTCGAAGTATTTACATACGCACGAAACTTCTTTTTTATTAAATTGTTAAAATTATATCGAATTAGGGTGAACTTGGATCAGATGTAATCACATCCGTGCAAGTTATGGAGAAGTTATGCAAATATGTTTATGCTCATGATAACACTGATCGACTAAGAACTCGTGCAATTCTTTCGCACATTTATCACCATGCCCTCCATGATAACTGGTTCCAAGCTCGTGACTTGATCCTGATGTCGCATCTCCAAGAAACCATTCAGCATTCTGATCCAGCCACACAGGTTTGAATGTGTACCTGTGTTTATCTTTATCTTATTAATAAACTCATTTCTCTATCATTGTAAATTAATTTTAATCTAAGTTTAATTTATTTTTTATTTTTTTCTAATTCTTAAAACTTATCTTCTAGAAGAAGATAAAAAGTTAAACCAAGATTAAGGTTAATACATTTAAACAAGATTAATACATAGAAACGGACATAAAATGTATAAAAATAATTTTATTGCTTTTTTTAGATTTTATACAATCGCACGATAGCCCATTTAGGATTATGTGCATTCCGTCATGCAAATATCAAAGATGCCCACAACTGCCTGGTCGATTTGATGGTGACAGGTAAAGTGAAAGAACTTCTGGCGCAAGGTCTGCTGCCGCAACGACAGCACGAACGTAGCAAAGAACAGGAGAAAATTGAAAAGCAGAGGCAAATGCCTTTCCATATGCACATCAATCTGGAACTTCTGGAATGCGTATACCTTGTTTCAGCAATGCTCATCGAAATTCCTTATATGGCCGGTATGTCTTCTGTGTTTAATATTTTTTATATTATGTGTGTGTGTACGTGCGTGCGTGTGTGACTGACTCACAAGGGACCGTTACATAATGACCAAAAAGTTAGATGATGATTTTGTGATAATCCGATAGAGTGACCTTCAATGAGTGACATGTGAAGTTTATTTGCTATTACATTAGCAAATGAACTTCACATGTCACTCATTGAAGGTCACTCTATCGGATTATCACAAAATCATCATCTAACTTTTTGATCATTATGTGATGGTCCCTTGTCAGAGTTTATTATATGCGACAAATTATTCAATTCTAGCGCACGAGTTTGACGCGAGACGAAGAATGATCTCGAAGACTTTCTATCAACAACTGCGATCCAGTGAACGTCAGTCGTTAGTCGGACCTCCGGAATCCATGAGAGAGCATGTCGTTGCTGCCGCCAAAGCAATGCGTAACGGAAATTGGTCCGCTTGCAACAATTATATTATAAATGAAAAGATGAACGCAAAGGTATTAGAGATTTACTTAACAATTTTTTTTCAAAATGAGAATACGAGACAGTAATTACTTTTGTCAAAATAGGTATGGGATCTTTTTCATCAAGCGGACAAAGTGCGAGCTATGTTAACACGATTAATTAAGGAAGAGGCATTGAGGACTTATCTATTTACGTACTCACATGTGTATGATTCGATCTCAATGCCAAAACTCGCTGACATGTTCCAGTTGAAACGGCCCATAGTCCATTCAATTATCAGTAAAATGATCATTAACGAAGAACTCATGGTATTATACAGATATCTATGTTGCACATAATGATTTACGTAATTCTACATAATTTATATATTCCTCTTTTATATAAATCTAGGCGTCATTGGATGACCCAACTGGAACAGTAGTTATGCACCGAAGCGAACCAAGTCGCCTTCAATCGTTGGCTCTGCAATTGACAGATAAAGTCAACAACTTTGTAGATTCGAACGAACGTATCTTCGAAATGAAGCAAGGTACGTACAACAGACGAATGAAATATTTTTCACGATCTTTATCATGATCTTTATTTATACTACCATGATCTTGATTTTGGTGTATCATCGAGATCATTGACTTGATTGTCATCAAAATTGTTCAATAACATTAAATAGATCAATTTTTTTTTATGAAAATTAATATTGAAATTATATTTCTTCTAATATTAATATTCTATTTGAATAAATTGTTGCTTTTATTTTTCATATATTTATATTTTCATATATTTATATTGTCATTTTTAACATCTTTTTCTCAAATCTGGCTTGGCCTGTCCAGACCTGACTTGATTCGACTCGACTCCAACTCTGACTTTGTAAATAAATTTGTATACATTACACATATAATAAAAAGTACAAAATTATTAAAATATTAATCGTATATGACAAAAATATAATATAAACAAAATGAGGGATAGGTGGGAAAGAGAGAAAATTAAGATATTCAATCACATTTAATTTTTTTGATATTTTAATTTTTTTTGTTGGCAGAAATATTGTGTGTGTGTGTGTGTGTGATTCAAGATAATTTAAAATACATTACTGTAATAAAACATAGATATAGAAATAAAGTCCGATCGAGTTAATATACAACATAAATATAGTAGAGAGCGCCGAGTTAATGTACAACATAAATTAAATTCATGAGTCCAAGAATATTATATTATTCGAAACATCTAACTTCGACCGATTCTTGGTGCTCTCTACCATATTTATAGAAAAAATAGATGTGTTAATATGTATATTATATAATTTTTGGAAGTTTAGTCAAACAATTTTTTAACAAAATTATATACTTCATATATATCTTACATATTTATTTCATAATTCAGTATAAAAATTAGTCTTTAACATAATCTTCTAGTTCGTAATAAATATAAACTCTTGCAGGTAACTTCTTTTCGAGAGGGAATCAAGGCAATTTCCGCGATCGTCAGAGTTACAATCGCCAAGGGCAGGATTGGGGCCGGCAGAGACGTGATCGCGATCGCGATCGTGATCGTAATAGGGAAGAGAATCGAAATTATTAAGTATATGATAACACCGATATCAAAATGATGTGAAATAAAACTTGAGGTATCAAATATCATTGTAACGTTTTAGCAACACATAAATAATGTCAATGTCATATACAAACAATTATATTCCGTTGATATATTGCAGAATTATTTAAGCAATTTTTTTCCCACAATCGTCACAAAAAAGTATTATATATAATTTATATAAAACAAATATGTGTAATTTTGATTTATTTATTACACGAAAAAAACATTTTTACATTCCTGACGAGAGTCTTCATATCTTTTGTATCCTCTGAATGAGTTTGTTACCCGTTAGAATAGTGTCGGATGTAAGTACGAGACGTATCCCTGTAGACTTCTCTACGAGCCGGCAAGCTGCTATTTCTGCACAAGTAATACCTCCTATTACGCAGATCACGACCATTTTCGGTGATAATACGCCCCGGTGACCATTTACAATGCAACTCGGTAGATTTGTCAGATCCTCGAAGCTGCGAGGATCCTTCTCCTGATTCAATACAATATTTAATATTTGTGCCTGTAATGTGTTAAACGATATTATATTAATTTCGCACAGTTATACATTGCTTAATTAATAATATGGAAAAAGAAATCGAATGAAATACGAACTATTGCGGGTATATAAGCGTTATTGAACACGTAGCTAGGACAGGTACGACTGTTCTGATCAGATCGTTTTGAAGAACCAGGTAATATCTTCAATTTTTGCGCATTGCTACTCCACTCGCTGCTCCAGTTCGACAGTTTATGTAAAATATATTCGTTCCTGTACTTTAGCAAGCCAGTTGTGCGCAGCTTATAAAACAATGGGATATGCTGATAACCATGGGTATGAAGATGCATCTTTTGGATATCTAGAATCTCGTTTTGCGTGACACCGTCGGTAGTGATAGACAACAGGCAGAGGAGACGCAAACATCGCAACTCATGCTCATCTGCAAAAAAAGTATTTTACATTTTAATCATAATGAAATCATTTTAATTCTAATTTCTATCGCAATTAAATATAGTTCTAATTTAATTAATTCTAATGTCTCAGAAAAGGCACCTATATTCCTTTCAATGTAGCTCAAGCATTCCTTTCGATCCTTGCAGTCGAGCATCAGTTTTTCAATCGTTTGCAAGACTTGAAACTCTGAGCCTACCGTGTCCGCGATAGCCTGGCATGCGGATATATGAAATGCCAATTGCTGGGTCATGTCTCTGGTCCTTTGCAATCTCGTCGACACATATCTCTCCATCTCGGCCAACTTCATTGTCTGTATCGCTTCCTGTTCAGCTGATATTAGCAAGTTGTTAAAATATCGACAAAGCGAGATACATAGTGATAAAAATAAATACATTTGAGCGACTTGGCCTTTCTGTGTAAAATCGGAAAAGCGTCACTGCAGGGTGTATCTCTCACTTCTCCATAGATTTGATCTTTGTTTGGATCTAATCTGGTTTGCGATTTTTCCAACGTCGCTATGCCGACATTTACTTGTACAACTTCGTTCAACAAGCCCGCGTATGTTACGGGCGTCAAGAGAGTTGTAGCCAGATCAAAACTCCTGTCCATCATAATAAAGGCGCCAACCTCGTTTTCTAGACTAGACGAGCCCAGACTCTGCTCCATAGATTCCATCAGCTTGCTCATTTGTTGGCTGTGCTTGCCGAGAAAAAGTGAGAACCTCGGCGAGCCGAGTATCAACTGCAACGACCACAGGTTGCGCGCTAACGCTCGCAGAGAACTTGTATCTTTATGATAGTAGAGCTCGACAAACATTGGATTTTCCAAGGATAAAACGTTTCCGTCTGATCTTATGAATTCTACGGAAAACGTCTGCAACGTAAGTAGCTCGGACAAACCTGAATAAACGATTTGGTGTTATAAAAATAAACAGAACCGATAATATCATTATAATTTGCTAACCTTCCTCTTCGACTAGATTGTGTAAGACAGGTGGGACGAACGGCACGACCAACAAATGATGGCATACTTGGACGTGTGGTTTGCCAGTTAGAGATATTTCGGACTGTATTTGATCTAAGACTCTCTTGCACGCGATCAAGCTGTTAGATACTAAGAATATACGTTGACTGTTTGATTTCTTCAGTCCTTCCTCCAACTTATAAATCTTGTCCACTCCGTATCGCCTAAGTAAAATGATACACAATTATTATAAATTGTGATAATAAAAGTGATATATAAATGTATGTTAGAATATGAAAATATTTACTTCAATACAGTCACTCCTACGAAACTGTCCAATATTTTCATTAGTTTCTGTTCTATTATCAGATCCTTTGATCCTGGGATGGCATCTAGTATCTTCACAAGCTTTTGCTGACTGATTTGCTGGAGTGCGGACAGTTTATCATCTAAGGTGATATCCATGTTATTTTACTCGTAATAAATCGTGATATATGTATTCCAAGAGAAGTAATTTCTAAACCTGATTATCCTCACAGATGTTTTTCGTATCTAAACATAAGATTCAGAATTATTTCTTATACATATATGTGCATATATATATGCGTGTGTATAAAATTTTATTTTAAAGATATTAGAGTAAATTATATATAATATATAAATGCAAGCTGCTTTCATTCTTCTCTTTCCATAAAAAAATAATGGACTTTTATACAAATAAATAAATTACAAATGTAAAATATAACTTAAGTAGCTATTCTTTTACTTCAATATCTTTACAAATACTAATATCTAAAAACAAATTAACTAATTATCTTCACAGATACTTTTCCTGTTTAAAAATAAAATATTTAGAATAAGTTCAAATATATGTGTTGGGCTAATATTTGTCGTATGACAAAGATTTTAAGTTTATCGATTAGCTGTAGGATAAAGAGATCCGAGAACTTCTCTTTCTTGTAACCAATCAATAGACTTGAAATGCTTTGTCGACAAATGTAATATTAACTTAATTCTGCTAAATATATTACTGCATCATATGTATAAGAAAGCTGCTTTCATTCTTTTTTCTCTGCAAGAAAGTGATTGAAAGTGATAGACTTTTATACAAATACATAATCTGCAATTCTATAAATATAAAATGTAATTTAATCAGGCCTGGACACGTATTTGAAATACTTTTATTTAAAACATAGTTTTTGCGATACAAGTACATTTTGTATTTAAAATCGAAAAATTTTAAGTTTTTTGTACTTTGTAATTCAAATAATAACATTAATTGTCAATCTTAGTATTTGAAATATAAAATACAAAATACTTTCAATCTTTCGTTATTAATACTGAAATACAAAATATATGCTGCTATGAAACACAAAATACAAAATATTTGCATATGCGCCGTTGAAATGCATAATACAAAATACAAATGTCTTACAAATACCGTTTTCCAACTAAAAATATTTCAAATGCCAAGCTCTGAATTTAATTGTATTTGTGTCAAAGCTCATGTCACACTCAAAAATATCAGACATTTTTATATTTGACAAAAGGAAAGCAACAGTGAGCACACTCCAACAAGGTTCATTTTAATCTGCATTAATCAGTTTCTGAATTCCTCTTTATTTAAGATTAATTAAGAATTAATATTATTTCTTTTTGCTAAAATTGGACATAAACGAATGTTGTTTACAACCCATATGATCGCAGAAAATGACGAAGTTCTGACAAGAGAGTCGAAAAGAAAATTGTTAAAACACAAATAAAATTACCGCAATTATACGTTCACATTATTATATTTATCGTTAAGGAGGCCCGCAAATTGCGGGTGCAAATTGTTAGCGCGATAAGCTGTCAAATTATAATGTTCCTATAATAGGAACACTATCGAATTGCGCGTTAAATAACATACGCGAGCACAAAACTGTCGTAGCAGCGACCAGCACGCGACGTGTCGCCGCGGTCGCCACCGCAACGCGTTACGCGAGGAGTCACGGTCACGCACGAATGCGCACGAATGCGCACGAAGCGCACGCATGTGTGCGTCGGCAACGTTGCTACTTGTCGCGCGAGAAGAATCAGACTCTACGACCTGCGCACCGCGCACGCCGCGGCGCCTTTCATCTTCCATTCTGTCGCCGAGACAAGTGTACAATACACTCAAATACACCACTGCCGCTCCACGCGAGCGTACTCGACGCCACACAAGCGCGAGCGAGGTTATTTAAAAATGGCGGACGCGTCGTCTTCCGACACTACCTCGGACTGCTGCAATGAATGTTTCTCTGACATTACGTCGGAAAGGTCGGAGTACGTTGTGGTGGGACGCAAGCCATGCACGTCGCACCGTCGCAGCAAGCGGAACCTCCTGCAGAAGCTACTGATAAGGGAGGTAAGCCACCTTGATTCGCGCGACCCGAGTGGCATCGTGAGTGACAGGCCTCAAGGCACCGCGCCTCATGCTGTCAAGAACGATTCCTTACCTATGACGATTCTTAAAGAATCAGGAATTATTCATCTGGCTTCATTGATTGAATTAAAACGAACTGCTGTTCGCGTTAAAACTTAATAAAAGACGTCTTTCTGGATGCATAAGTTCCAAGCTCTTTTTTTTTTCTTTTAATATCTTCCTGTACAACAATAAGTCACAGTAACATTCACATCAATATTATAATTTCTTACTCAATAATATAAATGTAATACAACACATATTGTACACAACAGTTACATTGTTGAAGAAATTATAATATTGTTACTGTTATTTTACTGAGTTGAGATAACTCTCAGTTTGTCAGCATCCTAGAAAGTCTGTTTCATGCCTAGGAAGTCTTGTGGGAATGATATGAAGGGGTTGATTTATATAAGCAATTGTTACATGCAAGATATTCTATAACTGCGTGATTTTTGCTTGCAGATGAGAGGATGTCTATCAGCGCACAATTACGCCTTAGAAGAAAGACTGTTTACAGCTGTGCCTAAATGGCGACACTTCCATCTTCTGCACATAATCCCAAAATCGGCGCTTGAAGCAGGGTATGCCAACAATTCAGTGCACAGATTTATTTAACCCATTCTTTTGCTGCATTCTTC